GACAGACAGTTGACCCTGAGAGATCAAGTAAATACTTACAGCGGATCTAAATATTTATAATTAATTATAACTAGTTATGATTAATTATTAATATTTCCCCTTTGAGCTGATTAGCTACATATCACAGGAAATGTTATTGGTTAGGTGATTCAATAAGTAAGCAATATGTGACCATGGACCACAAAACCAGTCATAAGGGTACATTTTTGGAAATTGAGATTTATACATCATACATCATACATACATACATCATATACAACAAATAAGCTTTCCATTGATGTATGGTTTGTTGGGATAGGACAATTTTTGGCCGAGATTCAACTATTTGAAAATCTGGAATCTGAGGGTGCAAAAAAATCAAAATATTGAGAAAACTGCCATTGAAGTTGTCCAAATAAAGTTCTTAGCAATACATATTACTAATCAAAAATTAAGTTTTGATATATTTACGGTAGGACATTTACAAAATATCTTCATGGAACATGTTCTTTACTTAATATCCTAATGATTTTTGGCATAAAAGAAAAATCGATAATTTTGACCAATACAATGTATTGTTGGCTATTACTACAAATATACCAATGCTACTTATGACTGGTTTTGTGGTCCAGGGTCACATATAGTTGTGCTCATAAGTTTACACCCCCTTACAGAATCTGTAAGAGGCCTGCTGGTCCGTGCCCAGGGCACAGTTGCATCAAAGTTTGCAGCACTGCGCTGTAGCCAAACAGTCATGTCTACTGTGCACATGATGCAATCATCTCCTTATTGCAACATGATTTCTGTAATCTCACGAACTTTCATCATAACTAATAGTAAAAACACAATGTGAACAAGAAACTTGTTGACCAGTGTAAACTGTATCATTTATTATGAAATCAAATATCTGACAGATTCATGCTGATCTTAAATAAAGACTTTTGATATACAAAGATGGTGCACTCATATTACTTAGGCCTATAAATTAGAGAAAGTGCAATGCGCAATATGGGATAGTCCCGCCTTCTAAATAAAAGTGCCATTTGCTAATTAATAAAGTCATTGCATCACTGCATCTGCCATCAGAAACTCCGGATGCTATAGAAACATGCTGCATCCCAATTTGCCTACTAATACTATTTCATTTACTTTAACTTCCTACTGTATCGGAGAGAAAAGAAGTAACACGTTGATCTGTCAGCTTGAGTTGAATTACTGAAATAAATGAACTTTTCCATGACATTCTAATTTATTGAGATGCACCTGTACTATGCTTTGGGACACACTTAATCTAATCTCACATACTATTTAGGATGGATAGTATGCACATTGGGACATTCAGTTTCGTGAGACGTGCACTTTAGACTGCACATGCACATTGGCTGGTCTAGGCTGAAAAATAAATTTTGTTTAATGTTATTCGAGCAGAACAAACTAAATTTATGAGACAGTTGTTGTTTGATTTCATTGGTTATTTCAAATATGATGCCAACCCCTCAGAAGACCTCAGATGATGCAAACCATCAGACAACATACAAAACTACCAAATTTTGCTATAAGTTTGATCGCAACATATAATCATTGCTGTTAATAGTGTTCACCGTCTGTTTGATTGCATGACATTAACTAACTGCTTGATTTTTACTGTACATTTCTGCCATATGGATATCAACTTGAGATAAGCTATTACTAAATGTAATGTAGAAACTTTAATTTTCTGTAAAGCTGCTTTGCAACGATTTGCATTGTGAAAAGCGCTATACAAATAAACTTGAAGAAAAATTATGAAGAAATATGAACTTTAATCATAACCTTGGTGAACAGCTTTGGTTTACCAATTCAAAGAGACACATTCAAATGGCAACACTTCTTGTTGCGGTCTTACTGACTTAAAATGGCTGCTGCATGCTTGTGTGTGTCCATTAGGTTCATGAAACTGTTTAGCTTTCAGAAGGGTTCTTGCAAGCGCCCCCTTTGCAGCCGCTATGGGCTCTTGATGCGTACCTCTGCCGTGCCTGCACTGAGGTGAGCTCCACTGTAGAATACACCTCCTTGATTACTTATGATGATGATGCAAGGGGTGTGTCGAGGGGAAACTGGGACGTGTTCTGATTTCAAATCCTGGTGGTTCAGAAGGGTAAAAAAAAAACAACCCAGTAATTAAAATTTTAAACTGGGGAGTTCCAACCTTAATCAAACACACCTGAATCAGCTAATCAAGGTCTTCAAGATCACTTGAAAAGTCACAGGCCAGGTGTGTTGAAGCAGGTTGGAAATAAACTTTGTAGGACAGTGGGTCCCCGGGAGTAGGGTTGAAGACCTATGTATTAGAGAATTATGAAATATAGCTTCCAAACTAGTACTTTAATTTATAGGGAATTTAATCACTTCTGTATTACCAGATATGTATGGTGTTGCACATAGAAGACAAGACAATGATAGCATGCAGTATTTTTAAGTTTGAGTTGGGAAAATTGTTGTTATTATTATAATTCTTTTCAGACTTTTTACTACATCCGGGTTTGAAAACAATATCAGGTGAACATCACATGGTTGTGGATTAAATGTTTAAGATTTACACTGACTTTCAACAAATCCAAAATAAATAAAAAAATCATTACAGGTGGCTTCTGACATCATTCCTCAAAACCGGCCCTGAAGGACCATTGCCCTACAAACTCAAAAGTTTAGCTCAAAAACTCTAGAGCAAGCTAATCAAGGTCAGAGTTACTAGAAAATTAAATTTAGGTAAGTTTGATCAGGGTTTGAGCTAAACTCTGCATGGCAGTGGCCTTCCAGGTCTGGACTTGAGGAAACCTACTTTAGTATAGCAGATGAAGGGCGACTCATTGTAATGTGTGGTTCTGGGTGTAATGCATAGTTGAGTGAAGAAATAAAAACGTAAGTTGAGTGGAGAAATAAAAACAGGCTCAGGGGCGTGGGAAGATGTTTTAGGTTGGGGTGCTGTACGATAGATGTTATTTACACTAAGTGCAAATAGCTATAGATTCTATTTATACTGTTAAAACAGCAGGATATTCTGCTAATTACTTATTGCAAATAGTGGCAATTATCTGCACCTCAGCATTGTAATACATTATAAAACAGTATGTAATAATAACTGATTGAGTGTCAAAATTAATTTTAATTCAAATTATTAAATGGATGCCACCTTATTGGGACAAAAGCCTGCTACACCTATCTGTAATGTGGGGTTTGGTGTTTGGGTTTTGTTTCATGTTCATGTTTTCCATGTCTTTTATTTTGTAATTGTTTCATGCTCTCACTACGCTCGCCTTCAGTGGACTGACTCGTTACAGAATACACGACCAAAAGAATGAACCCAGCAGTTGCATTTCTGCAGTTACGTCAAGGTCATCGGGCAATAGAGAATTATGTTCAGGATTTTTGTGAACTTTCTAACCGGGTGGACTTTAATGATGTGGCATTAACTCCTGGACTTTTTGGATTTTGTTTGGGCGTCTGGAGCCGCCCTTAGAGGGGGGGATATGTAATGTGGGGTTTGGTGTTTGGGTTTTGTTTCATGTTCATGTTTTCCATGTCTTTTATTTTGTAATTGTTTCATGCTGTCAGTGTCATGCTTCCCTTGCCCTCATGTATCTCTGCCTTGTGTATGTGTCATGTTCTGATTGGTAGTCTTAGTCATGTGTCTTGTTTCCCATTGGTTTGTTCATGTCATGTGACCCTCCTTGTCTGCTATAAGTAGCCATCATGTTCCCATTGTGCCTGGTCGTGTATTGATGTTGTAACCTGCTGTCGGTGAGTCTAGTCTGTTCATGCCTCGTCAAGTCTGTGTATCTTGTTTGGATTATTGTTTGGATCACACTGTAAATAAAACTGCACTTGGGTTCTCACTACGCTCGCCTTCAGTGGACTGACTCGTTACACTATCCTAACCCTACCCAGTACTTTATTTTCAACTTTTTGATTATTTCCTTCATTTTTATTAAAAATAAATGCTTTTCTGATGTGATTTGAAAGGGAGAAAAAAAGTTCGCCAAAAGGCAGATCCGAACCCGGGTCGATCGCGTCAAAAAGAGTATGACACCATCTACGCCACTGAATCTGACTATTGATTACCATCTTTTGAAATGTTGACTAGCCCAGTCACACGTTGGTGGGTGGAGTTAGTGTAAATAGCCTCTGCCAACAATGCGGGCTCTGATTTTTTTTATTTTTATTATTTTCTATTTTATTTTTATTTTTTTATTATTCCCAACAGTTAAACCGTTGCCCACAGAAAAAAACAGGGGGTGCTGCAGCACCCTCAGCACCCCCACTTTCCGCGCCTATGAACAGGCTGATTACATTTTGAAATCTGTAGTAGGACTGTAACCACCGTAGACACTGTGGGGGACATGTCCCCCCAATAATTAGAAATGGCCACTTGACCCGCCCAATATTTGATATTTTAAAAGGTAAATTTTTAAGGCAGGTTTGCTTCAGCACTCTGACAGTGCTCATCAATGTCAAAACGATTGAGATGACCAGTCAAATCAAAGAAGACGGGCTTTACTATTCACAAAATTTCAATTTTCAACAGTGAAAGAGTAGGTAAACAGTAATATCCAGTGATTCAAACTATTCACATTTTTTTGTCAAATTTTGTCTTTTGAATTGAAAACATAGGCTGTCATTTACGTGATTCATGTAATTCAGAATTAAACATTTTTGTTTTTCGTGTTTAAAAAATTATAAATAAAATACAAATTACTTTTTGTGTTGATTACCCAACACTGCTTGCAGCTATATGCACATTAGTGTTTAACGTAATACCTGAAAATCCAAAAGTTGAGTATGCAGGTGCCACTGAAGTCTTTGTATATACAAAATTACATTGTATAAACATGCTTAAAACACAATGAAAAATTACAACCTGCCCTGACATGACAAAACTGAAAACACAGTTCAGCCTTTTTGCTTAGACAACTAACACCTGACATAACCAAAAGAATCTGTCATAATGTTTTACTGTCTCTTGTGCTGTTTACTGATTCTAGGTGTCTTTCTTCTTGTTCATCATCTTTGTGGCATACACCATGCTTCCCTTCTCCATGAGAGATGCCATCATAGCCAGCGTGCTCACCGCGTCCTCTCACACTGTTGTCCTCAGTGTCTGCCTCTCCTCTACAGTCGACCATGTGGAGCCCCTGGTATGGCAGGTCAGTGCTCTCCAATCTGTCTTGCAATGTGCTTGCCAAGAGCTGTGAGCTTTACCCTGTGCGGCAACTGTTGAAGTTTGCCTTGTCTGTTGAGAAGGATCATTGCCAATTGCGCATGTGATTGTGTATGTGTCTATGAGTACAGGTATGTATGATTATTAAGTCATTTATGATTTTTGTGGTTTATAATTCGAATGCTCATTGTCATATTGATGTATTTGAAAAGCTTAGTGTGGGTGTGTTAATAATTGATATTCATGGATGATATTCAAGCGGTATCAGTCTTACTTAAGGTGATTAGATTTCTGAAATGAAAACATTTAGTTCAATCACAGATGCATTGTTCAAATATAGTTATTTTCAAATATTTAAAATAAAGGAGGACAGTTTCAGTTTTGTGCATTCTGATCATGGTGATTGTAGAGCTGTGATGAACTATAGTATATCATATACCACATACATTTCAAAATTACTGTTTGAGGAAAAGATGGTAAACCTCCAGTCTCACGGGACAAATAGAACTTCACCGACTTTTATTGTCAGAGCTGACTCTTCCGTGTCAACACCAACATAAACTGCTGCGCTTCTCCTCTGCACATGTACCACCATGCCACTCAACATCCATATAGTGAACATTACATTTAAATAAAAATTATAAAATGAATCGTAAAACAAATTACCCGAAAGGAAATAAACAGAAAATAATTATCATCAAAAACAGGGAGTCAAAAAACGAGGACGTCCATTCGCTGACTAAATATAACTGTAAATATTGGAATATATCTGTAATTATTAGATGAGACTGACCTTCCCTTGGTATAGTATTCATTATTTAGGCATTTTCATATTGCATAAATCAAAGTCAAAATTGCCTGTATTAATTTTGTCTTAATCTCTCCTCATTTTCCTTGTTTTGAACCACATTACCCATGGTGTCAGATTTTATTATCAATTGGATTGCTTGTTTAGACAATTCAGGAAGCTAACTTGCTCCCATCTTAGTTCAAATGAATGCATAAACAAGCAAAAATGACCTTTCAGTAAAAGCCAATTTCTGTAAACGGCTTACAGTAATAGCATGTATTTAAAAAAAAAAAATCTGTGTAAAAGGTCAAACTTTATATGAATAGTAACTCTTAATATTATTATAAAAAGTAAAAAAATATTCTGTTTTCAGTGTCCATTTCTTACATTCAGTGCAAATGTTCCTTACTGCTGCAGACTACTCAAAAAGAACCATACATGGCTCTCTCACAACTGCCAAATGCTGTTTCTACTTCTTATTTCTCACACTGTCTCAATGTCTTTCACTTGCTTTCATGCTATGCCTTTTGGTCCTGGGTAGGGGTCTTGAGTCTTGAAAGCTGTGCATTCTATAACATCTAGAATGCCTCAGGCACAAGACTGAGAGGCATTTTGGCAAACTGTAGTTTGGCAGTGCAACGAGAAAGATATTAATATGCTTCCCTAGCAGTTTTCTGCACATCATATGGACTTGTGGAGACTAAAGTAATACATTTCCAATGAGTATTACAGTATTACACATTTTTATTTATTATAAAATGTATTATTGAGAATTTGACCAATGGTTTGAAAAGAATGTTTAACAACAACAACAACAATAACAACAGTGTGTGTGTGTGTGTGTTTGTGTATGTATGTATATATATATATATATATATATATCTCTTAAATTTGAAAATATATGAAAAAATATATTTAAAAAATGCATACATTTGGTTGTGATGTGACTTTGTTTTAATAAATGGTATATTAATATAAACAATATTAAAGTATGTTGATCTTAATAACTTCGTAGTCCTAAGTGTAATGTGAATGCTTTCACAATTGATGAGGTTTGCTGATTTCTGAAATAGAGAAAACTCTGTCCTGCTCTGTTACATACTAACTGTGAAAGAACAGATTTTTTCCCCTTTGGGCACCAGGGTGGAAAAGCTCTTTCAAAGAACTGTGCTAGAATCTCTGCAGCAGGTGTGGTCTTTCTGCCAGCTCTTCCAGTCAGCATCTCAACCACTGCACAGCATCTCAACCACTGCATTTTTGGTAGAACTGCTAAGCGCAAGAGCAAAGTGTCACTTATATTACTGTGATGAGTGGGGCGGGGCCGAGAGCCGTGGGAGCGGAGCGAGGCTGGTGGAGTAAATGGTAATGAGCGTCCCACGGCTCTCGGCCCCGCCCCACTCATCACCTTATGCTGGATGTGTGTGGGACAGTTCATACTGAATACATGAAATAATATTTCCTATCCCAGCTCATAAACATAGATATAGGGCAATAAATATTTTGGTTCAGTGAAGCACATGATTTAGGATGAGCGTTTGGGGCATACAATCAGTTTGTCCTTTCAAAATTGATTTGATTAGGATATCTCTTTCATAATTCATAAATAATGGCAGACTTCGATAACACTTTTTTTTTTTAAGTGGCAGGTTTGACATCCAGGCGGATGTAAGAAAAAAATATCAATGATCATTATTAATGCTATAAATGATTATGTCTAACATGCCATATTACTGAAAGAGGAATCTTAATTCTAAAAGTGAATCAAAACTGTGCTAGCTAACTAAACCACATAGCATGACCTGTTATTTGTGCAGCTAGACATGTTATGCGTGTATCAAAACTTATGATTATTATGTGTGAAACAATACAATTCATTATTTTGTTTTTCTTATTGTTTTCAAACCATTATGAGAATAGAGAAGCAGCTATTAATCTGGGTAGATCCTTGGTTTATTATGTGTCTGATTGTTAATAGCAAGGTCAAAATTCACATAGCTACAAGTGCTAGACTAATGTTTTAATGCTGGGAGCTTTAAAAGGTCAGAATCAGATACAGACAGAATGCCTGAATACCTGTCTTTGTGAACTCTCAACCGTTGTCAAATCTGATATGTTTCTAAAACCTTTTATTTTGTCTGATGCCATCGGGTGCTAAATTAGAATTACAGTTTTGTCTGTATTGTGCTAGCTGTGATAGTGTTATGACTCAGTGATGCTCAGGGTGAGTTGATTGGATCAGATCTCGGTATCACTGGCTGAAAAGCAGGGTTAAATCTTATTATGATTTAGCTTTTTTCTGTGGGGCACTCAGCAAATAACAATTCATGCACTTTAGTGTGTAATGATGATGGTAGAGCCACAGGTTCAACTGGGTGTTGAATGGGAGGACAGCAATACAATCCAAAAGATGAATGGGTTAATGCAATTCTAACTGAATGGTTACTATAGAATGCCCATTTCACTTAATTGCAAATAATCTGTCGACCCTCTCCATTTCTCTCTTCCTTTGAGTTAAACACAGAAATACAAACCATACACTTACAGCAATACAATAAAAATAGCAACACAAAAACAGTGTCTAAACTGAGGGGTATCATGCCCATTTAAATTAAATGTGTGAGGACATTCTCAGATTTTTTGCCAAGTGGATTTTAAATTCATTTGACATCTTTTATAATTAAGTTGAACAATAAATTGCAGGTAAAAAACAAACAAAAAACAATATGGTATATTCAGGTATAGTACTATGCTATGTCATTTGTATAATAGAATTTTGTTGGGGGGGGGACTTTCAAGAATGGTCAACCCAGGCTCATTGGAAATACATGATTCTGCCTACATATCTGCAAAACCTGAAATACATTTCTCTGTGTATATTTCGTTGCACATTTTAGATTACATGTCCACAAGAGCCAGATGCGAGTTTATTAAACAGTGTTATTAAAAACAAAATGGTTGCAAATGAATATTGAGTAGCATGCTTCACTGCAGTTTGAAATAGTGTGTACAATTTTATCCAAAACAGTTAAGTGTAATTGTGGCAACATTTTATTAGATCATAAATTAAATGTCTGTTGAGTGGAGCTAAAATGTTAATGCTCTATCACCTTTGATATTAACATACCACTTATACCGTGTATGTAGTGTTAACAAAAGCAAACTTGAAAGAAAAATGCATTTGCAGAGGCAACTGTGTCATTTTAGCTTGCTTTTACAAGTCTTTGAGCTCTTTTAACGTGACTCATGTTTCACTGAACTTGTACCCAAGTGCAACGCAGCGCTGAACCAGGTGAGCTAATGAGCAAGCTTGCAACTTTGGAAAAGCTGTACATATTTAGTGGATTTGTAAAAGTTAAAATGTGTTAGTTTACAAACCATGCATTATGTTAAAAGTGTTTTAAGGTCATAATATATTGTGCAAGAAACCTCGTAATAATAAGCATATATTCATCAATAATCTTCCCTGTAATCACAATTTGTATGAAAAGGAACAAAAGTAATTGGTGTTTTACTGCCTAGAGTTCTTGTCACCTGGAAACTACAGAGAAATGTATGTATAGGTAAGATTTTGCAGTTTTGCAGCTATGTAGGCAGTCACATATTTCCAATGTGCCAGGGTTACGAATGGTACTTAGCTAGTACGAATGTGAGCTCACTTAGCTATAATAAAGTGACAGTTCATGATCTCACATTTTTTTCAAAATTACAGGAATTATACAGCAAGAATTAACCGGTCCAGAAATCATACAGAGAATTCTGAAACATTCATTTATATTATGTATATGAGTCAGCACAGTGAAAGGACTACTTTATTTATTATGCAGATACAATGTTTTATCCACAACTAAGAATGGCACAACATTTGGAAAACTTGTGCCGTTAGATTGAGCAGGCATCTAAATCTATTTTTATACCTAGTTATCCTGTTGTACATAGAATCTCTCCCTTCACTAACATGCACCAGTGGGCAGATAAATAGCCATTGATCTGTGTCTGTGCAGGTAGTCATGAGTTGATGTAGTCATATCTATTATGTAATAAAAATGTGTAATTTTTGGCTGCTTGGTTTCAATGAAAGCTGTTTTTGAATGGAAGTTTTTTTTAGTTCTACACTAAAATTACACTACGTTTTGTTGTACAACGACCTCTTAAAAGCTTCCTGAATTTTGATTCCTCGATTCATGGCCCCATTAAGC